CTAGGGAAGATTGATTACAGGACCCTTGTGGATACCAAATCCACTGATGCTTAAGTTCCTTATATAAAACAATGTTGTATTTTCATATAACATACTTGCATATTTCTATATGCTTAAATCCTCTCTAGATTACTTGTAAGTAATCTTTGTATGAGATAAAAGTGAAAAGGAAAATATATAGACTAACTTCTTCAAGCCTCTCTTTTAGGGGAGACACCTCTTCTCATTTTGTAACAGTTGGTATGACTGGATGGCATCACTGATTGGTAGAATCTGCTAATGAAGACTCTGTAGATATGGGTGATGATATTTATGAGTAGACAGGTTTTTTTTTCCCTCTTTCAGGCACTAAAGAGATTAGAATTTTTGAATTTCTGTTTGGATTAATAGGGAGGGGGACAGTATGATAGTTCCCCTTTAATCTTAGGGGAAACTTTCTAAGACCTTCAGCGGACACCTGAAATCATGGATAGTACTGACCCCAAACCTACAAACAGTTTTTTTTCCTGTTCATACATAATTTATAAATTAGGCACAGTAGATTAACAATAACTAATAATAAGCTAGAATATTTATAATGATCGTACTATGATAAACGTTACATGAATGGTGTCTCTTTCTCAAAGTATCTTACTATACTGTACTTTAAGATGTTTTCAGTCTGTGATTTCCCATAGTTAACTGAAAGCATAGAAAGCAAAGCCATGGATAACATAGATTACTGTATGTTATTATGAGAAGTGAGAGTGTTAGAACATTTCCTATCTTTTAAAAGTCTTTCGGAGTGACAGAAGGCCCAAAGGTCTTTGCTAGTGTCATTTTAAAATCAATTATTGAAACTGAATGTAGTCCAGCTAAGTTTTATTTGCTGTTTCCCACTGTTTAATATTGCTATATCTCTACTTCCCTAGACATTTGATTTTACAGAAAAGTATACTTTTATTGTGTAATGTAAATATATGCTAATGATAGAAAAATAATAATACACTAATATGGTAATAATAGATTTCCTATGTTATGAAGCATATTAAATTAAAAACATTGATCATGTCTCACCTTAGTTTAAGAACTAGTACATATCATTGACTCTACTTACTGTGAATTCCTGTTTCACTTCTCCCATCCAGATACAATATGACATTAAAAAAAATTATTCCCTTACTTGTTATGAAAACAGTTTGTGTATATATTCTAGAGCAGTGTATATTTTACTTTTGAGCATTGTATACATGCCATCAAAGTATACATATGTATTAATGTAATTATAAACAGATTTTTGGGGGTCTTAAATCATGTATCAAGATTTATTTGGTTGTGGACATAGCTATAGTTAGTTGAGTTTTATTGTTGGGGCCAGCTATGTAACCTACTGGTTAAGGAAGCCAGATTTGATGTGGCTGACTACAGTTTGAATCCTGAGCCAGCAGCGTGGGAGACACTGGGTACATGTGCATGTGAGCCCCATACTCTGAAAATAGAGGGAAAGCGATTGATGTGGGTTCATACCCTGTTGGGAGGTGTTTCTTTTCTTCCTCTCCCTCTCTCTCTCTCTCTCTCTTGTCTCTCTGGCAAAAGCACACACCCTCTAGTGATGAAAATTTCATTGCTATATACTGTTGGGTCGTCTAGAAAGTCATGATGTAAATGCAAAATATGACCTTTCAATGACCCAATATTTTGTTATGTGAATGAAATGTACCTACTATAGTAGGTAATATTGGGTGTTTCATGTTTGTTAGGTTTTTGGCATCATAAATTATTTTACTGTAAAGATTATTGAACATACATATTGAGTGTGAGTATATTCTTTCATTGTATTGACATTTCTAAGAGTGGAATAGATGGCTCGCACAGGATATGTATGTATTCTGCTGCACATTCCAACCAGAAGAGTGCAGTAGTCTTTGATCTACATATTTCATCAGTGCTGACAATTTTTTGAGTTTTTCTCTGTTTTATAGCTACAGAAAAAATATCTCATCATTGTTCAAATTTGCATTTTCCTGACTAATAAGGTTGAACATTTTTTATGTTATCTTCCATTCCCATTTTCATTTCTGAAAATTCTTCTTGCTATTCTTCTTGTTATTTGTCCCTTCTCTCCTTTGATCTTATTAGGAGTTATTATATATTCTGAACATAGATGCATTTGTGTTGTTAATATCTTCTGTTCATTAATGGCTTGGTTATTTTTATTATTTATTTATTTTTTCTCAGAGGCTTTTGCTTTAGTGTGTTTGTGCTTACAGGACAGGGATGGGGAGGGTGAGTAAAGAGGCACTGAGAGAGAAAGTGAGAAATCAGCCGCTAGGTGGGACGGGCATGCCACAATGCTTTTCCCCCCATTCTTCTCCTGAGATTTTGAGCATGCATACATACACATGTGCCCAGCATGAATTTCAAGATACTGGGGTCAGGGACTTGAACCACAGTCAACCATGTGGGAGTCCAGTGATATAACCACTATGCCATCTGCTGTCCTCATGGGCTAGTTCTTCTATTTTTTGGTATTTTAGTGATAGCTGAATTTTAATATAGCTTGATATATTGGTTTATTGGATGTTTAACACTCTCCTCCATCCCATCCTTTCTCTCTCTCGTAGTTTTTTTTTTTTTTAATTTTCTATTTCAGTTTATTTTATACATAAATCACATAGGTCACTTAGCTTGCAAAGTGAATATTCCAACATGTATATACTTCTCACCAGCCCAGTTGAGAATAGTATACACGCTATCTTCAACAGATAATAACCCACTTCTCTCCCCTGGAAATGCCTTGGCTGTCCATTTTTCTCCTTAATGTCTTTCCTTAGACTCTCCTCCTTCACCCACCCTCTTCCCACACCGTATCTGGTATTTATAATAATTTTCTATGCTTCCATGTCCTTTAGTCATTCAGTTTCGGCTATAGAGTGCAGACACTAGGTGTGACAAAGTGGTTAGCACTTTTTTGTACTTGGAATTGATTCTTCAAAGAGTATAATGTAATGGTCCAATTGCATTTTACCCCCTATGGATAACTCTTGGTTTGGGATTGCTATCTCTGTCATTTCGTGATTCTGTTTTGTCTCATTCTGTGTTGGTGGGCTTCTCTGTTCTACTGGTCATGTTTTTTAACCCTGCACCAATGTTATAAAATAGAGTTTTCATTATTATAATTCTGTCAACTCTGGATATCTAGTAAAGCAAGCATCTATGGGTCTTCGGGAAAGTCATAATGCGTTTTTGCATAGAAAAACAGAAAAATACATCTTGAGCTTTCTGATGACTTAGTATCAGGAGCTATTTGACTATATAATTTGAGAGCCAGCTTTTCAGATTCCTTGGAAAACTTGTAGTTTTAATTGAAATTTTAGTGAATGTGTTTATCAGATGAGGGAGAAGTGAATTCTTTGATAATGTAGAACCCTTGTCCATGAACCCCCACTTATTTAGGACTTCTCTGATTTATGTTTTCATAATTTTCTCTGTACAAGTCATCTTTTAGATTTATTCCTATGTGTTTAATATCTTTAATGCTATTAATAGCATTACCTAAGAATTTAAGTTGTTTATTCCTTTTCTGTTATATAGAAATTATATTGATTTTTATTATCTTGTTTCTAGCAACCTTGGATAAATGCTGTCATTAATTCTGATCATTTGCTTGTGCATTTTAGTTGTTGATAGATAGACAATTTAATCCTCTCTGAAAGTGTCTTCCCTTTTTGGAGAAAAAAAATTTCTTTTCTGTTTACTATTCTGGACAACTGTGGTTTTACAAATGGGCTTCCTATCTTGTTCTAGATTTTAAATGGAGTTGTACAAACTTTTCATCTTTAAGATGGTTTGGGGCCAGCTGGTAGTGTAGTAGTTAAGGTGGCTGGATCCCACAGGCTGCGCCAGATCTAGCAGCTTGAAAAACATGTTGAGCTCTTATGCATGTGTGCCCAAAACCAGAGGAGAATGGAAAAGGGATTGTGGTGTGACTGTCCGCCTCCCCTTTGGGTGGGTGTGCTTTTTTACTTTCCCTGTCTTGTTCTGTCTCTGTTTCTCTGCAGAGAGCATATTTTTAAAAAGGAAAAGACAAGGCAAAGAAGATATCTGGTGTAGATGTTTGTTAAGATTACTCTGTATCAGTGAAGTGAATCCCTTCCATTTTCTGATTTTCCAAGAAGATACTTTTGATTATTTTTGTTGGTGGTGGTCTTATGTAACATCTTGATTAGGTATTAAATTTTAACAAATACTTTTATCTACTAAGAAAGTAATAATACGATTTTACTTTATTAATATGACATATTGCATTTGTGTATTTTTCTCTGTCAAACGATCGTTGCATTTCTAACTTGATTGTGATAAATTATCTTTTATGATATATACATTCTTGATGTGCTTATTAATAGTTTTGTATCTGTGTTTGGGAGATTGCTTTTTTGTTACACTTAACCAGCTATTTATAATATCAAGATTGTATTGACCTCGGGTAAACGTTTTTTGATTCTTAAATGAGTTTAAGATTAGAATGATCTTTTACTTGAAATGTGTAGCACTGCTCTGTAAAACCAAGTTTGGTGGCTCTGTATTTGGAATAGAGTAGGGAAAATTAACTACCAATCTATTTCTTTATTAATTATAGAAGTATTTCATTTCCTTCAGTAAATTTAATATTCTAGTTATTAGACCCTTTGTCTAAGATTCTTTTATATTTATTGTTTGTGCCTTTTCTCAAGTTTTGCTGGAGGGGGTGGTGTATGTTTTATTAGTCTTGACCCAAAATTCCCCCCCAGAAAAACTTTATGCATTAGCTGTTTTGTGTTTTAGGCTCTGTTTTGCTGATTTATACAGATGCTTCTTTACTTGTGATGGGAGGTAACAGTGTTTACTATAAGCCTATCATAAGTTGGAAATATTAGGGGTCTTCTAAAGTTTGTGGAAAATACATATTACAAGAAAAAACTGTGTGTAGATTTCACCTTTTATTTGCTGTTGCACCAAAATAACCTTTTTTGTGTGTGGGGGGAGGCTTTCCAGTAAAAACTGGAAAACCTGTTAGACAAATTGTAGAAGCACCAAAACAAACTTTAATTCCATTTTTTTTCCTGGGAACTTTTTGAATTCCCTTTGTATCATACATAGGTCGAAAATCCATTTAATGCACCATACCAATACACGATTCATAGCTTAACCTAGTCTACCTTAAGTGTGCTCTAAACACTTATGTTAGCCTACACTTGGGTAAAATAATTTATTATAAAACCTTTGTCTAATAAAATGTTGAATATGTTATGTAACTGAATATTGTACAGAAAGTGAAAAACAAAATATATGGGTACTCAAAGTACAGTTTTTCCTTAGTATATATTGCTTTTGCAACATAGTAAAGTGGAAAAATTGTAATCAAGGTCTATTTGCATTCTTATCTTTGTTGTATCCATTTTATTTGTACAAACTTATTTTGTTCTTTTTGTCAAAATTTTTTAGGTTGGATGCTTAACTCCAGTCTTGAACTTTTCTTATTTATTGCATGCCTTTAAAACTACAAAATTACCTCAGAGTGCTGCTTCTGTGGTTCCTCTGATACTAACTTTTTAAAAAAATGTTTTTGAGACTTGCTTCTTTTCTAGTATGTTGTTGAATTTTGTAAATACCTCCCATGTTCTTGAGAAAAATGTGTCTTTTTCACTTGTTAGTTATAGCAGAACTGTGTATTTTTCTGTTGAATCAAGTTTATTGATGGTGTGGGTCAAATATTTTAATCTTCATTTAAAAAATATTTTTAAGAGAGATTTTTGCTATAGGGTGCTTTGGCTCACCAGTTAGACAGAAAGCATGAAACCACCCTTTGCCCTCCCCGCTCCCCCACCCTCCGCAGGGGGTGAAAGGCTAATCTCCTCTCCTCTCTCTGTATTTTGGGGACTCATGCACACATGCCCAGCATGAGTTTTAAGCTGCCAGGTCTGGGACTCAAACCATGGTGGGAGTCCAGTAATGTAACCATTATGTCAACTGCTGGTCCCTTAATCGTCATTTTTATTCCTGTTTTATTTACCAAAAGTAAAACAAGTGTGGAAATGTATGCATTTGTTTAATCTTTGCTGTTGCAGTATATCTTGAGGTTATTTTTGTTAATAAAACTAGCTTAAAATACATTTCAATAAATTAAAACATTCTTATACCTTTTTTAAACTTTTTTAAAAAACACATTAGTGACATGTATGTGTGTGTGTGTGTGCGCGCGTGTGTGTGTGTCCTTCCGTCTGTGTCTGTGTTCAGTTTGACAGCCTGAAGGTTTTTGGTTCATTTCCATTCATTGAAATAGGGGCTTGTTTCTACATCTACTTAATAACTTACTGTTTTTCTCATTTCTGTCAGTCTTCCCTAACTTAAGTATTCTTTTTGATTGATTGTTTTAAAAAGAGTTTAGTTTTGTTTTTTATTTTTTAATTTTACATTTTTAATTAATTAATTAATTAATTTTGGTAGAGGTTTTTGCTATGGGGCATGTGTGCTTTCCAGAAAGACCGAGAGAGACAGAAAACAGAAAGCGAGAAATCACCCCCCATGGGGGATAGCCATGCCCCATTCCCTTCTCCTCCATTCTCATCTTGGGATGTGGCGCACGCACGCGTACGCACCTGGCGTGAGGTGAAGCCACCAGGTCCAGGACTCGAACCACGGTCATCTACATGGTAGTCCAGCGACATAGCCATTACACCAATTGCTGGTCCTGTTTGTTTATTTGTTTTTAAATTTCATTCTTACTCTATATCCACCTTTGCAAAATATGCACTATTTCTATTAGTGGTTCCTTTGAAATTTTATGATACTTACATGAAGAAATCTTAAGTTAATTAATTTTTTTAAGGATTTTGTCATAGGGCACATGTGCTTACCAGACAGACAAAGACAGAGTGAAAGGGAAAGTGAAAAATGATCCCCTATGGAGAATGGCCACACCACAATCTTTTCTCCTCCATTCTCCCCTCAGGGTTCTGGGCATGCATGTACATGTGCCCAGCGTGATTTTCAAGCTACCAAGTCCAGGACTTGAACCGCTGAGTTGGCCATGTGGGAATCCAGCACCCTAGCCACTACGTCACCTGCTGGTCCCTTAAGCTAATTTCTTTTTTTTTTTTTTATTGTTTATTTATTATTATAACTCCTTCTCATATAATACAATGATTGTGGACCAGTTGGACATTAGTTCAACTCCTTCCATCATTTAAATATTTCCAGACTAGTGACATTTTAAATGCCATTATTTTCTATCAGGTTGGAAAAAGTTTCTAGAAACCAGAAATTGTGAAAGGCAGGCATTATATTTCCCATTTAATAGATACAGAATGTTGGGCAGCAGATGGTGTAATGGTTACTTTGCTGGACACCCAGGTAGTCAACTGTGGTTTGAAACTCGGACCCAAGTGTCTTGAAACTCCTGTGACTTGAGTTTCGGACATGTGTGTGTGTGTGTGTGTGTGTGTGTGTGTGTGTCCAAAATCCTGAAGAGAGTAAAGGAGAAAGGATAGCTGTGTGACCATCACCCTAGGGTATGATTTCTCACTTTTTATCTCTCTGTCCCTTACCTCTCTGGTGAGTGTACATGCCCTATAGCAAAACTCTTTCTCAAAAAGAAATAAAAGCATATGTACAGAATGTCTGCACTTTATAGCAGAAACTGAAAGATTGGAAGGAATAATAGCAGGAGAATAACTGTAGGTCCTAGAGATATTATAGGAGGGAGGTGAATATTAGGGGCTGAGAGGGAGGAAATCAGTGAAAAAACAAAAGATTTAATAGACAAAAGTGAAAAGTTACCTGTTGATGATAATGTATATGGTAATGTCTTTTACTTAATGTGCCCTGTATTCATGCTAGGAAAAAACATATTTTACATTGTAAAGATAAACAGTAAATGTAAATTAAATACATATATAAAAAATTAAAAACAGAATGAGTTTTTTATTGAAGTAATATCTGATGAAAGCTAAAGTGAACATTGTTTCAAAAGAAAAGAAAAATAGAATATGGTCTGTCTTACTCATTACTAGCAATTGTATGAAATAACATATTAATTTTTAATTTGTGACATTTATTTCTCTAGTGTCAATTTCTGCCATCTGATAAAAATATATATTATCTTTTCATATACATAGACTACAGAAAAGTCATTTAACTTACTAAAATGGCCCATATTGAAGAGAACCTGTGTAAATAGATAATGAGATAGGTAATGAGGTTTCAAAGAAACATTAGAATTCAGTCATTTAGTGTTTTTCATTGTTTTCTTTGTATCTTAAGACTTTTCTCATTTGTACCCATTTCTTTGCTGTTAGTTTTAGATTTTTTTTTTCCCCACGTTTTTGCCATAGGGCATGTGCACTCACCAATAATAGAGAGACAGAGAGAGGGAAAGTGCAGTCACCCCATAGAGGGGATGACCATGCCACAGTCTCTTCTCTTCCATTTTCCTCTTGGCATTTTGGGCACACAAGCAAATACTCCCAGCAATTTTCAAGCCATTGCATCTGAGACTTAAGCAGTGGTCAGCCATGTGGGAATCCAGTGCCTTAAAGCCACCATGCAACCTGCTGGCCCCAAATCTAGATTTAATCCTGTTTTCAATAAGAAAAAAATTTAGTCTCTTTTAATAAATGAAAATGTTAAATTTAATCACTGTAACTTGGACATGCAAAGAAAATGAGGTTAAAACATACAGTATTTAATGTGCCTCTTATACTCACCTGATTTAGAACTACTGACATTCATGGGCAAGTGTTTGATTTTAGGATTATCATACACTATATGGGATGTCTTGGAACTAGCTTATGACAATACTATTTTATGCCCAGCACAAAAGCTAGTATGTACATTGAACTTTATTTTCTGTTTATATTGAAGTTTCAAAAGAGATATTGAGAAGGCAAAATGTGCCTTTTAATAAGTGAAATGGTTTGAGTAATGGATAAATTAGAGTTTAAATGTAAATACATGTTTTATCATGATCGTAAAGAACGCTAAAGTTAATATATTTAAAGAATATGTGGGGCCAAGCCACAGGTGTTGTGGTTAAGACCCTGGACTCCCACATGGTCAACCATGGTTCGAGTTCTAGACCTGACTCCTTGAAAATCACATTGGGCACATAAGCGTGAGTGCTCATAATCCCAAGAGGAGAATGGAGGAGAAGGGATTGTAGTGTGGCCATCCCTAGGTTAGGAGGTGATTTCTCACTTTCCCTCTCACTGTCTCTCTCTTTGGTGAGTGCATGTGCAAAAAGAAAAAGAATATGTAATAATAACATCTTTGGAGGAGAATTGCTTTGAAACTTTTAATTTCAAAATGCTTAGAGGAGGAGGAAAGGCATAGCAACTAGAATTCTAGTAAATTCTGTTTAGATAAAATGGCAAAATCCCCTTTGCAAATGCCATATAATAGTGGGTCATTGGAAAAGTCATGACATTTTTCTCTGCAAAAATGTGTTATGATTTTTCCAACAAACGAATACATAAAATATACACATTCATAAACCAGTCAAATTACTTAGTACTCTGTGGTTAGTATTTATAATTAATTCTACATTATAGCAAAATAACTGGTTTTAGTATGCGTTCTATTCAAGGGACAACAATTTCAATGGCTAAAAATGAAACCTACAAGTAAAATTTGTAAGGTACCTATCTATTTTCCTGTGATTTATATAATGGTAGGCCATGGATATATTACTTTTTCAGAGGTATTTATTTTGTTGTATATTTTGTTTTTTTTTTCCTATTATTAATTTTTCTTTTTGAACTTAAACACAGCTTTTATTATTGCCATGAAAATAATAATTACTATTTCGGGACCAGCAGTTAACGTAGTGGCTATGTCCCTGCACTCCCATGTAGTCGCCTGCAGTTCACGTCCCGGACCCGGTGGCTTAAAACTCACGCTGGGCACATGTGCATGCGTGCCCAAGATCCCGAGAGGAGAACGGAAGAGAAGGGATTGCAGTGTGGCCATCCCCCCAGGGGGTGATTTCTCATTTTTTGTCTCTCTCTTTTTGTCTGGCGAGCGCATGCGCCCTGTAGCAAAAACTTCTC